TGCACTTAAGAGTTAATTCATCCTATATCTGTGCAGAAGTCCCACTTACCCTTCTCCTGCCGTTATCACCACGAAGACGGGGAGGGGGAGAGAGGAGAAAAGATATTGAAGGGAAATTTATCATTGTCTTGTGGGTCCCACCTCGCCAGAGCTAGTCGCTGGAGGGAACTTTCAGAAGGGTCGTGTGCCAGAGCAAAGGGCACACAACCCCTCCCCCTCTCGTAAGATACACTTCTTTCTCCCTTCTTTCCAAACTCACTTCCTCTGTGCTTTCCTAACAAGCATAGAGGCCCCGATTCTGGCTCCCTATGTCCCCTTCTCCATGAAATAGTCTGAGAGGAGGAGGGATATATGCACACTTCCCTTATGCACTGCTGCAATAGGCCTGAGATCCTTTCAGAACTGGCGTAAGTAAAGCTCCAGTTCCTTTTATCTGCAGAAATGGTTGTATTGGCCTTTGGCAGCTGTAGGAGACAAGGAAATGTGTTGTCTCCCTTATCAGCCTTATTCTCTGGCTTGTGATCTGAGCACCCCAGTGATGAACCAGCAGCAAAGCCTGAGCCTATTTAGTACTGCCAAGTCCAAGTAAGGTGCTCCAAAATTCCAGTAGTTAGAAATATTCTTTGCTTTCAGATTTTAAATCTGTTGGATCATGACTTTTTCTAGCTATCATAGGCCTATAAAAATTACTTGAACTATCTTAAAATTACAGGACCCATAATCATTGCGACTTTTCTTGTCCTTGTGGTCCTCACTTCTCAGTGTAGTGGAGCAGAAAAATTGTTCTTGAAACACCAAGTTGAAATGCTCATTTTCTCCTTCCCTTGCTAGAGCTGATGACTCTGGAGAGGCTCTGAGTCAGGGCCAGCCTTTACCCTCTCCAGCTCTTCTGTATGGTGAACTGGTAGACTCTTAAGACTGGTTCTCTTGTATCCAGATGAGAATGTTAACACAGCGGTTGGCGGTACTAGAGTCAAAAGAGAAACAACCTTTGTTTAGGAGGCCACGGGACTTAAAGAAGCTTTGGCTACTCATTATCCAATTTAGGCCCGTCATAAAATGGCAAGAGATCTTAAGGATTACTTTAGTACCCAAGGTTCTTTATTATAAGGGAAACAGTTATCCATGAAAATTTGTGTTGCATATCCATTGAGTCAGGATTATACCCCATATTTTTCAGAACTTGATATCTATAAGAGCACACCACTTTGTCAATTCGATAGTGGAGTCTTATACCATCCATCTTGTTTCTCATTCATTTTAATATGCATTTTTTGGATTGTACATAGTACATCCCTCTGTTAAAATCTGCAGGAAACTGAACTCTCTCCAACTATGCATTTTTTAAGGCCAAACCACAGCCTTTGGGATATGCCTACAAGTTTACTTGTGACAAAAGTATCAAATGTATCATACCTTTTAGACTGGTGTGGACTTTGAATTTATCTGGGCAAATGGCAGTTTCCTTGTGGTTTAAAAACTAAACATTCCTTCCTCAGAGATCAGTCTATGGGCTTCTAAAATAAAGTCTTAGAAAACTAAAACAAATATTGATACTTACTCAATTACTAACGTGCACTCTATTATTAATTGGGTGAATACTTAAACTTTTACAAGTGATTGTTTTTATAAAACCGCTATAGAACCATGTCTGTTTTGAATGTTTTCAGTGTAATTGTCTAATCCTTACATGTCTAAATGGATTTTAGAACCTACAAAAGTGTGCTACTTTGAATCTGTATTGCCTGTTCACTCATATTTCTGCCCCAGTTGAGATCCCAACTGGGTAAGGTTTCAAGTCTCCCCCAGAGTAAAAATCCAAAATGGTTGTCAGTTGAGACTTCCTTTTGAATGTAATTTGTCAAGTAAACAGGAAACAATGCTGTACACTTGTGTAATTTGCAGGTATTACTATAGTTAGTAAAATACTTTAGGGCGTGTGTCAGGGACTAGAGGAATGTTGTCAATCGAGGAAGCCTATTCTAAGTTTGATTTAAACTAGTAATTATACATGAAGCTATCAAAGGAATATATTTTGGTAGTAGTAAAATAACCAGTATATTTTCTCCACACAGTTCATGGAACACAATTATATATAAGATTATAATTAAAATTAATATTGCATACCTAAAATTACATTTATCACTTACTTAGTGTAAGTCTCCTAGGACACAGTTTTGCAGTGGTGTATATTTTTGCCCTTTGGTGCTCAGATTCCTGGTTCAAAACATTACTAATTTTGGTGGATTTTAAAATAGAGACGTTAATGTATAACCTTAAGGGGGAGTTTTAAATGCGGGTCATTTTTTTACACCAGATACCCTCATGGGCCTCTAAAAGAGAGGCAGCAGTATAGTCTAATAGTCCCCAGGAGTGGGGCTGGGAGCACATTGGCTGCTGACCCCACCTCCGGGGACTATTGAATAGCTGTATAACTGCTAAACTTTGATGCGGGTATACGACTATTTAATTACACACTTTAATATCTCTAGTTTAAAATAATCCTCACGTCATATGTTGTCCTTTTAAGGTAGTTAATTTGTACTGGTTAATATGAAAATACTCAAGAACTCATCTACACAAAGTATTTGGGAAAAGCTATACAGAAAGAATTAAAAACTTCCATGTTGATGTAATGGTGTGATGCACACTGTAGGATGTGATTTCTCAAGTGCATCTATTAGTCACACACTTAACTGGTCCATATAAACCCTGTTGGTATGTTCAATCAGTTTCAAATATGTTCAAACGTACTAAGAAACAGTACTTTTTCTGCAATAACTTCATGTGAAGAGAGTTTAAAACAGGATTGTTATTCTAGACTAATTTATTTTCAACTGACGCAGTGTCTACGTTAGGAGTACTGTAGCAGCATAGCTATGCCATAGTTATATCAGGATAATCTTGTAGTAGTGTAGAGAGAGTTTATGGCAGTAGAAGAGGTTTTTCCATCATTGTAGGATTATTATGATTGTCTAGATTAACACTTGTTGGTCAGAGGTGTGAACCTCCTTCCCTCCTCGTCTAACAAAAGCTTCACCAGCAAAAGTGCTGGTGTGGACAGCATTATGGTGGCAGGCTATGCTCTGCTGCTGACTTAAGCTACCACTGCTTGTTATGGTATCTGGGAGACCTTGCACCAGCTCAGCGGTACTGCTATAAGGTCAGTAGTGAACTACCTCGTCATCTGAATTCAGGAGAGTGGTATTATGGTAGGAGGTATTATCTTGCTCTCTCTCAGCACAACTAAGTAGTGTGTTTTTTGTCCTTGGCATAAAGAAACTGACAAAGTTCATGCCGCTTTTTATGTTGCTGCCTAGGAAGTTCTGTAAGGACTATCCAGAATTGGGGTGGGAAGAGAAGTGAAAGAGACTTGCGTAAGGAAGAACCCTGCGTGATTGTAGTAGCAAAGTACATTACTTTGAGAGTTTCTCAACCCACTTTCCGGATCTGCACAGTGTGGGTTACTAGGAATGTTAAATCCTTTTTAATTGGTTAACCATGAAATTTAACAGGTTAACCAATTGAGGGGGTGTCATCCAGCCCAAGTGGGCTGGAGTGACCCTCCCTCCCCCACTGTGGCCAGGCTGGAGTGGGTCTCTGGCACAGGCTGCTCCAGCCCAGCCAGAGCAGCCCTTGTCTTCACCTCCCCACCCCACCCCGGGTCCACCGCAGACACCCAGAGCAATCCCTGTCCGTGGCAGGCCCAGCGAGGCTGGAGCAACCTACTAGAGGCAGGGAAATATTCCAGCCCCCACCACTTAACTGGAACTGGTACTTTCCGGTTAACCAGCTAACCTTTCACATCCCTAGTTAGAACACTAATATTACATTTAGCTCCTTGGCTAGAATATCTTCAGTCAGGTGTCCAGCTAACTGAAGTAGCAGTTTTGATGATGTAGATATAATGCGTGGCTCTGTGACATAGCAGAGTATGGAGGAAGGAAGTGTGGTGGTGTTTTTTTAAGTAGCCTCTCTGACTTCCTGCCAAAGGGGAAAGCATGTGGGTAAATGAACTGAGGGGAAAGAAGTCTAAGAAGTGAGGATGGATATATTAAACAAGGGATAGAACAGTTGGAGATGTGAACACCTTAAAGGTATTTAATGAAGATGTAGCCAAGAGAAACAAATACCTTATTTTTTTGTTTAAGGGAGATAGTATGTATTAGTAATCTGCCTCAGTCTGCCACAGCTAACTAATGCTTTGTTTATTTGGCATTTTTTAATCAAAGGATCACCAAATGATTTATTAACAGGTTGTAGTGAAGTATTAGCCTCATTTTATAATAAGAAAGGCAAGGTATAAACATGATGCAGTTTATCATATAGCCAGTTAGTGACAATTCTGGAATTAAAATATAAGTCTCCTGGTTCCCAGGCCTGTGCTTTAAAACAAACAAACAAAAAAAAACACTAGATCAGTGTTTCCCAATTTTATTTGGCCACGGAACTCTTAAACTCAAAAGAATTTTGTGGAACCCTAATAGTGTGATTTCTGGAGCTGAAAAAGTAGACCACTAAGAAGTAAAGATAATAAACAAATGCTAAACAAGGTCATGAGATCGACATTTAGTTTAATTGCACATATTTAAAAACAAAAATAACATATTAATTATTTCATTTAATCATAAAATGTTGTTGTAATGAAATTTTCTCGCGGAACCCTTATTTTTACTTTGTGGAAGCCTGGGGTTCCACAGAACACCATTTGGTAAACACTGCACTAGACACAGCTCCTTACAAAATATTGAGCAATGAAGTGGCTACCGTTTTGTTGCATTTTATATCCCTTCTTAAGAGGAAAACAACTTTTTTTCCCCCTCACACAGAACACTGAAAATGGAGTCTAAACCTTCAAGGATTCCTCGAAGGATATCAGTTCAACCCTCCAGTTCCTCTTCAAGTGCTAGAACAATGGATGGAAGTAGAGGAAGCAGTCTAACTGATACATATCATACAAGAGACTCTTCACTGAGACTTGATGCCGGATGTCAGGTAAGATATTTTATATTTGCTTTTAGCAGTAACACTTTCTGTATCTGCTTCTTTGGCAAGATTAATTTCAAGGGCACTATAAAGAGCAATTTCAACATGTTTTCTCACACAAACAAGCTAAATGCAAAATGTTGGCCTCCCTAGTGATAATGCTTTTTCACTGCTATAAAATGGTCTAGTATAGAGATGTTAAATTTAGATCAATCAACTAATCGAATAGTCAATGGAATTTACATCAACTACTCGATTAGTTCATAAGGGCACCTCCACCTTTGAAATGTACAAGGGTCCTACTGGGCTCTTGCTACATTTCAAAAGAAAAGTGTGTGGGAAGCATGGGATCAGTGGGGGCCCATACAAGATTTTGCTTAGGTTTGTCTTCCAAAATGGGTTTAAAATGAGGCAGACATCCCTGTTCTCTAAAGGCAGATGGCTAAATTAGAATTTAACTGATAAGCTGATGCTTATCGATTAATGTTATTGGTTAAACTCCCACTGCCTGCCCTTGGAGACTAGTTGGGTAACTGATAAGAGTTCATGCGGTTACACAACTATTCAATTATTTAATATCTAACATCCCTAACACGCTGTGGACAGAGAGTGCTTTGCAGCAGCCTCCCCTGTTCCTCCCTCTGTCCCCTGCCCTGCATATGATAGAGGTAGGAGGGAGGCAGCACCTGCTCTTGCTCCCACCCCTTGCTGCCTCGAATACAAGATTAACTGGTTACCCTAAGCTTATCAGTTAATTGTATAGTTGGCTACATGTTGATATCCCTAGGAACATCTGAGATAGAGACAGCAGCATAAGGAATGGGTGTGTGCGCGCGTGTAACTGTTCATGTTAACTGATGAGCCTAGGCTCATTGATTAATTGTGTACTCGGCTACATGTTCACATTTTGGCTAGGGATGTCAAATCCTGTTTAAAAAGTTAATTGGTTAAACGTTAATGCCCAAAAGCTGACTTCCTCCCAGAGCTTTTGGCAGGTGGGGAAAGGTAGAGTGGGTGGGGGAGTGGGGTAGGGAGAGCCCCTCTGCCCACAGTGTGGTGAGGCCCAGCTAGGCTAGAGCAGCCCCCCTCAGTGTGGCAGTGGTTACCAGCTTATCGAGTAAGCACCAACCTGACCAGATAACTGATTAACCCTTTAATATCTCATTTTGATGACACAAAGATGGAAGTTTTTTTGAAAGACTTTTCTTTTCCCCTCCCTTTATTGTTGACAAAGAGCTAGTATAGACACTGCTGTTTGTTTTGTCAACAGAACTGGCTTCTACCAGTATATCACAATGCCTGACCTGATTGCTCTGCTCAGTATTTTGATCTCTTCTGCCCTTTTGAAGCTCCAGACGTATCTGACGGCTGAGGCTATGTCTAGACTACATCCCTCTTTTGAAAGAGAGATGTATATTAGGCAGATCGAAAGTGCAAATGAAGCATGGATTTAAATATCCCGTGCTTCATTTGCATATTTGCGTCGAATTGTTGTTTCAAAAAGGTATTTCAAAAGTGAAACCACAGTCGAGACGCAGTTCTATCGGGGGAGGGGACCCTTTTTTGAAAGATCTTGTACTCCTGAAAAAATAAGTACGGGATCTTTCGAAAAAGGTTTCCTCTCCCCCCCCTCCCGAAAGAACCAAGTCTAGACTGCAGTTTCACTTTTGAAATACCCTTTCTCAAAACAGTGATTGGATGCAAATGAAGCACGGGATATTTAAATCCGTGCTTCATTTGCACTTTTGATCTGTCTAATTTACATCTCCCTTTCAAAAGAGGGATGTAGTCTAGATGAGCCCTGAGCATGCTGCTCTAGGGAACAGAGCAAATCATTGGAATACTTCTGTTCTGCCCTGTACTAGGAAGACAATGGTAGGCAGATAGGTGCTAGGGGAACAAGCTGCTGTGCCAGTCTGACATTTCTCAGTTTTGAGAGCTCACACAGCCAGGGATGGCAGGTTTGTAGAAATTTTGGTGGTGTCCACAATGCCCAGAGCCTGCACCTTTCACCCACCCACATGAGGCTCTGGAAAAGTGTCAGTTTTTGGGTGTCAACAGAACTTGGTAGTGTAGATGAGGTTTAAGAAATAGACCTTCTTTACCACGATTCTTACCTTTTCTTCAAGTGTCCACAGAAGTTATAGCCTTCCTCCACACATCTCTATGGAGTTTGTAGTACAATATATCTGTCCTAGCACTGCTCTTTTGACATTTTGGTTTAAACTCAAATGGAGGCACAGCTTCCACTGTAAGGCAATAGAAGGAGAAAAAAATGTGATGTTATCCTTAAACTTTACCTTTTTGGTAATTTAGCAGCATTAAGACTTCAAAAATAGAAGCACTCTGAAACTGATTTTAAATCAGTCTCTCTTGCTCTGAAAGACTGTCTCATAGTCAAGGAGGTGGAAGGATTCAGGGCTTTTCTTTTTTCACTAATTTGTAGCAGCTTATTTGTGACAGACTCATTTTGCAGAAACTATACAGGCTTAACTTAAAAAAAACTCAACAAATATTCTAGTAGCACCTTAAAGACTAACAAACCATGTAGATGGTGGCATGAAGTGGGTTTTGCCCACAAAAGCTCTTCAGATGACCGAAGAGTTAAACATCTACATGTTTTGTTAATCTTTAAGGTGCTACTAGACTATTCGTTGTTCTTTTTAAGATTTTCCTGTTACAGACTACCTTGGCTACCCCCTGAAGCTATTATACAGGCTTAGGTAGGAATACAGGCAGTCCCCGGGTTACGTCAGTCCGACTTAAGTGGGACCCCTAGTTACGAACCGGGTGGGCGGGGACCCGTTAGTTCGGGGTGCCTCCCCCACTGTCGTCGCCTCTGGCGGCGCGGGGGGACACTTCCCCCCAGCAGACCAGGGAGATGCGGGCGGTGGGATCGCGACGTGCCGCGGTCCTGCCGCCCCGGTCCTCCGCATCTCCCTGGTCTGCTGGGCCCTCCTCCCCCCGCAGACATGGGAGACGCAGAGCAAATCGCCCAGATGCACCACGGTCCCGCCGCCTCGC